ACTTGCATGCCCATATTGCGTTTGAGAGCTCCACGGGACATGGCACATTTAGTCTAAACGATAAAAAAAAATGTGGGCCTCATTGGCTTATTATTGTCAGTCGTAGTGCCAATATAGTGGTGGTATATAGTACTTGTATAGCTATTTAGGCTATAGGTTGTTGTTTTGAAGGGGTATGCTTTCCAATGGATGTCAATTTAATATTCAATTTGATCAATATTTGTTTGTTGTTGGCTTAATGTGACATTACCATGTGACACTACTGCATGTAGTTGTATTTTAGTTTGTTAGTTAGTTTTTAATAATCTAATTCGTTTTCAACGTTGATGAGATCTAATCACGTTGACGAGTTTTTGCTGAAGTTTTACTGTTTTTGACCAGTTGATTCATTGTCATTAGGCCTACTGCACAAACGTTGCGTTCATTCCCGCACATGGATGTACAAACGAAATCGAGACACGAATGAATGTTATTTGGGCTATATTAGGATTGAAAATGTTGCCAATATTCGTCTTATTCATGCTCCAACGTATATTATTTGAATAATCTATCAGTTATATTAATAATCTCCACAATGTATATATTGCAAATTAAAAACATATTTAAAAAATAGGCTCTATGATTGGCTTTAATCGTCAACTTTTGATAGGCCTATCATTGGACCCACTTTATTCAAGTATTTGTAATGTTTTGTTGTGTTTTTTAAGAGATAAGCTGTGCCTACTCAAAATGTATTCATCAATTTGTATGTAGCCTATTTCAGACAGAGGAAACACAATTAACCACAGCTTTGGTAATAGTAGGCTATATTAACTTGTTGTTGCTTTTGGGATCGTAACAAAATCAGTATTTGCCCATTTTCATATTTAAAAACAAGTGTATAAACCGCAGGCTAGGGGAGACAGGCAACCGACCTTAAGTTTAATTATAAGGTTTTCCGTATTTGTGGATACTAGTTTTTCCTGCCAGCATCTAGACACATTGCTGTGCAAAGGGTTTTCTCTTTATTTTTGCTAATTTCCTATTTATCATAAGAGATGATAGTCCAGTAGGCTTGTCTACCCCAGTCGTGCAGATTCAAACCACAAATGACAGACAATTCTCACAAATGCATCTGTAAATTGCAGCCTATTCGTTTTTCTTCTTCTTCGTATAATGCAAAAGTGCACTCAGTGAAATAACACTAAATTCTACACTATACGCCTACAAATTACTCTGCCACAAGGTGGAGAGAATTGTCTTTAGCACGCGCAAATCCACCAAAATCAAACCACATTACTTAATTTGTATATTAGGCCCTATTGGAAGTGGCAGACGGCAACCATGAATAAACAATGAATGGGGGAAAAAATCCTTATTATATGTTATCGCGGTTTTGGTGTTTGTTGCGCACACAAGCATAAAACAAATATAGCTCGTTCGAGGAGCGATATTCTTACAAAGCTGACTCTCCCTGGGTTAGACCATACCTCAGCTAACCCTCCAAAATATTTTTTCATAGCACATTTGGGTTTGTTATATCCATGAGTGGGCTACCCTCGCCATAAATTATCCCACCAATAACGAGACAGCAAAATCCACACATTTGAAGTTGGGTACTTTATCTTAAAGTATTTTATTCATTGTTTATCATTGTTTTAGGCTATGTATTGTAGCCTATATTTAAAGCCTATCATCTATATGGCTAATTTCCATAATCAATAGGCTATCACATGATAAATCCTATCTTCTTCTTTAATGGTTTGCCAAACAAAACTTGCACAACCAAAGACTGTTGTGTGCTTCGGCCTACTGCACAATGAACTCATGGTATCTTCACCTAAGGGCCTATGTGTTAAAACCTGCTTCCCATTCTCAGTCGCTGCGGCTCGTTTCTTTTGCCAGGACCTCGGTGTAACCGTGGCCATTATTTGTTGATGCTTGAAACTCTTCACAGCTCATACAACCGAATTTAATAGGTTGGCTTACATCCAATTAAAATTATCTGGGCCATGAGGGGACAATAATATTATTTCACACGGTTGCCACATTGAGCGCTTGTTTCAGCTCGAATTTATGTGGGTATAGACATTTGACGGAGCTAACTTGACCACCTGTCTTGAGAGAAAATATAGCCTATCCTCTTCTCCCTTTGGTCTCTATTTTCATGATTTCTATTTGGATTAAAAATACTGCAGGTCTGTAGTCTTGTTGGTTTACAATAAAGGGTGGTGAGGCCTTGCCTGGATTTCGCGGACAGACACGTCGTAAAGTCTTCTCCCCAACAAAAAAGCTCTCGTTCAAGTCTCAAGACGCGGGAGACCATTGACGTTTTTAGGACTATTAGGCTACCCGCATCGAGATTATATTTGCTACACACAATATTCAACTGTTGAAGAGAGATACACAGTCTTAGAACAAATATCTCAATTCAGGTCGAAGGAATACCTCGATGTGTTTTATATCAGGGTCCAATTGCGAGCAGGCTTGAGCTAACCTAGCCCTCCAAGTGTACGCAGACGCTGTCGTGAAATTCTGTCAGCCTTCATGAAAGCAATAAAGCCACTCACATTCAGATGCTATAACCTACATGCTAATCTGTATTGAGAAATAATCTGTAGAAAGAATTTGTATTGTGTCTAAAAGAAACAGTACAGCCAGTATGTTCAAATGAACACCCTATAGTACACTTGGCATCCCTGCAGCATGGAAGAGAGCACTTAATGGTCATACACCGCCGACGGTCCCAGGAAGAGAATACAATTTTTATGGCAGGCTATTTGTTTATTAGTTCTACTGCTCTCCGGGTGCAGTTTATGCGTACCGACATTCAATCTAATCTTTTGCTGAACGTGACAAGAGATATACAGATATATTTCACAGCAAACACCATTGCTAACATTACACTCAATTATACTGTGCACACATCTCACCTCTCTTTTCTTGAAATTCAACAGATTTGGAATGCCATGCATGTAGCCTATGAAATATTTAACACAGTAAGTAAACACAATGACGTATAGTCTTCTTGTAAATGTCTGCTTCGGATATGCTACATGTTGTGATAGTGGTCGAAATGTAAGGAATTGAAATGGCACAAATGTACGTAAACTTCGCTCTTTTCAACAAAAGCCTACTAGCCAAAGAGGTGAAGAAAAGTCTGTTTACTGCAGCTATTCCGCCTTTTATGGTGGTTGCTTTCAGGATTTTGGTGGTCAAATTCAAGTGCTGTGTCTGGACAGCTGTCGGATTTCTTTGTACTTGATTGCAGGCTTCTTGCGCCTCGACCTCAAGTCCTGAACATGTTCCTGCATGAATCCCAAACGATGCACTATTTATTTGTCCCACAGCATAACTGAAATATCTTAAATAAATAGCAGCCAGAATGCAGCGTTAGCACTTTCTGTAAGAAGTCTGGCATTATATATTGAACACTGCGCTTTTCCTCTCTTCTAGTTCAATGTAACTATTTGGTCCTTGTTAGTGATGGAAAACTTCTGTTTTCGAATAGGCGTAATGGATCGTCATCACGGGTTCTGGTTGATGCAAAAATGCATGGGAGAAAACTAATGCGCTAGAGAGCTTGCATTCCTTTTATGTATAGGCATATTCCCTTTCTAGCCTATTCCCAATGTGCAAAGTGCAAATGTAGGGACATACGAACACGTGTAGGGAAATGTTATGGTAAAGCCATATTTATAGTTGGATTTATCTAGAATATAAATCAAATAATACATTCAGATGAATGAAATGTTACAGACCGAGCCTTTATCCCATAAATAGATGGCCAATATACAAATATAATGATATTAAGTGGTTTGTATAATTTGTCAAACATATATAAATCTCGACGAGTAGGCATAAGCAAAATGTCAGCTATAAAGGTTATTTTGCAAACCCTCAGTGAATTTCGACTATATCAGTGTGCAGTGTTTGAGATGAACCCTTTCCCCAATTTCTTTTCCTAGCAATGAAAGACCTCTATTAATCCTCTATCCTATCTAAAAATCTAGATACGTAAAACCGGGATAATGTCTAAACATAATCATGCAGGGGCAAGCATGGGGGCGCGCACGCGCGCACACATACACACACACACAGGTTATAAACTCGAGAACTATGTTTTTGCTCTCTGACTTCCTAGTTTCCATCACGTCGCCAAACACTGGCCTAACAAAAAAATATATTATTTTAATTTCGATGCAAATGTCCATTCATGTTTCTATCTTTCTATAGTCTTGGTTCTGGGGGTAAAGCAATAAACCGCGTTAAAATTGGGTTCTTAACGAGATCTTTAAACCAGCTATTACAACAGGTTTACTTGCAATTCATAACACATAAACTAAACCATCGGACTAGATGATAATGAACATTTGATCTATCTTTTATTTGCCCGAAATATCAGGTTATATGGAGAGAAAAAAAATCATTCACAAAAGAAGACTGTAATAAATTGTAAGTGTTATCATCATTTATTTGTAATAATTCAAGAGTTTATAGAATATGTTCAATATTCACATCAAGGGTTTTTAGATAGGATAGAGGATTAATAGAGGTCTTTCATTGTTAGGAAAAGAAATTGGGGAAAGGGGTAATCTCAAACACTGCACACTCATATAATCAAAATTCACTGAGGGTTTGCAAAATAACCTTTATAGCTGACATTTGCATGGCCTCATAATAATAATAATAATAATAATAATAATAACCATAATAATAGTAATAATAATAGCATTAATAATCATTATTATTATTATTATTAAAAACCCTTACCTGTTAGTTATTTGCTATGCATTGCATTGCGCATGTGCTATACGGTATTCATATTTTGATTATATCGTTTAGAGACTAAAGAAAAAAGGGAAAGATACCTGATATTGATTTTTATAATACTCATGTGGTGTTGGAAAACCAGTCGTTTGAACCTTCTATATCTTACCTAAGTGAACCACTCCTACGCATGTAAGTGTTCCAAATTGATATATGACAATATCTACTTTCAATCACGTGTCTTGGGACGACTTAGACGGATAGCACGTCACCTCGCCTTCCCAAATTTTCTCCTTCTGCAGTTCGAATCCAAAACATCTATCTATAGTGCAAGAGAACGGGGAGAAAGATGTTTAACTCGGTTAATCTGGGCAACTTCTGCTCACAGACGCGAAAAGACAGGACTTCCGAGTTCGGAGACAGAGCGAGCTGTGCGTCCAACCTTTACCTCCCCAGCTGCACCTATTACGTCCCTGAATTTTCTGCCGTCTCTTCGTTCCTGCCACAGGCCCCGTCTAGGCAAATCACCTACCCTTACTCCACGAACCTCTCCCAAGTGCAACCGGTTCGGGACGTTTCTTACGGTTTGGACCCCTCAACTAAGTGGCACCATAGAGGGAACTATGCGTCCTGCTACTCAGGGGAGGAACTGGTACATAGAGACTGCCTTCCGCCATCGTCCACCATGACAGAAATGCTGATGAAAAACGAAAGTGTCTACAGTCATCACCATCATCAACACAACCACCCAAGCTCCAACCACCTATCCACGGGCTTTTATTCGGGTGTGGGGAAAAACCACGTTCTTCCGCAGGGCTTTGACCGTTTTTTCGAAAGCACACACAACGCGACGGATAACAGCTCGACAGAGAACTGTGCTCAGAACGGCGACTCCAGTAAACTGGATTCGGCGTCGCAGCCGCCTGCCGCCCTCCTCCACAGTGCCACAGACCCCGAGAAAGACCCCGAGAATGAAGAGGAAAACATTAATTCTGGTTCTTGTGCTTCTTCATCAGGCAAAAAAGACGACAGCGCCAACAAAACAAGCCACTCGAGTAGGTACCGAAGCTGTAAAAAGGTTAAGGGACTATCCCGGTATTTTTGTCGGTCAGATTTTATGTGGAGTTTTATAAGCATTCAAAGGATTTTATTATAACTCACAAAGCTCTTTCTTTCCAACAAGAATAATGTTTACGATGAGAAAGCGCTTTGAAAAAAACGATATGTTACACACAGGCAGCAGCTCTCCCAGTCTGTGAAATTTTAAGAGCGCGCTATTGTGACAAACGCTAACTTTGATCATGAACTTGCGCTGGGCTTTTTAAGCGATGTTTCACCAGGCTGTCGAGGGTAAAAAGCAATTGAGCAGAACACTGCTTTTGGGCGTCCTGTGATTTTTTCCCTTCTCAGCAGCCTCCTGTAAAATGTAGAAATGCTATTGTGTTGCTACTCTGGACAGGTTGCTTTACGCATTAACAGCAGCTAGCCTATATGTTTGATCGAGATTTAATGTAAAACGTAATAGCCTGATAATAGTTGTGATAATCATAATGTTTTGTTTCTTTGGGACCTATGCTCTTTTCAAAATGTGCATCTGTATTGGCAACCGTGCAAGTAAGCTTTCCTAGTATTTCATTTAGTAGACTAATCAATTATTTAAATATTTCAAGCGTTGAGATTTTAGTCTAGGCTATTCTGTAAATCACCAACAAACTCGTTCTGCTTTGTTATAGTCCATGTAGATATGATAAACCAATGAGCATCGGTCAGTTGGTTAAAATAGGCTAGATATAATTCTCTCATATTCATTTGAAGACTAATAAACAGTGGCTCCCAGTCCGTAGGCCCAAGCGCCCCCATAGTGTCATGGAAGAATTTGTCTCTAGCCTATAATAATATCCCACCTATTTGTTTGGCAGTAATGTTATCTAGGTATCCAGTGTTAATTCGCTGTAGATGATCGCATTATGATATGAAATGAAGGTAAATATTTTCCATGATAGCCATATATTCCCATTTATTATGACAGTGTGTTGAGTGGGGAAAGTAAGGGAGGTAGTGAGGTGATAAAAAGTGCAATGTCTTATGTCGTTTCGTGAATAGCGTTACAAAACTCGTCAGAGATTTTATAGAGAAGGCTGATTATAGTTGTATGTTACAAGGGGATGGCACTGATGGGCATGTATTTAAGGATACAGAGAAAGAAAATGAATGTGCAGACTTGAGGGTAGGCTAAGTGTTTAGGACACTTACATTTTATCAAACTTAACACACCTACGTTCTGAATCCCCACACGTTTCATCGTGCATCTTAATGCTTGTTTTATTTGAAAAGAGTGTTGAATACACTTGACCTTACATTCTTCTGATTATTTGTTTTATATTGCTCTAAGGTACACCACGCACGAGGAAGAAGAGGTGTCCTTACACGAAGTTCCAGATTCGAGAACTGGAAAGAGAGTTCTTCTTTAATGTTTATATCAACAAGGAGAAACGGCTGCAGCTCTCCAGAATGCTAAACCTCACTGACCGTCAGGTCAAAATCTGGTTCCAGAACCGCCGAATGAAAGAAAAGAAATTAAGCCGAGATCGGCTGCAGTATTTTGCTGGCAACCCCTTATTGTGAACTAAACTCTAAACTGGTAGCTTTGGTGAGAAGTAATCATCAATATTATCATCTCTAAAACTGACTTGCCTTTGGAGGACATGGTCAGAGTCGACTAGCCAAAAACAAGTGTTAGGTAATTCATGGGAACGCTGGGACTGGAAAGAAAGATAATCAGTTATTAATATCTTTATGTTTCCTTATTTTGTTGAACCAATAACAAGAACCAGCATAAAACAAGACCTCCGAGAAAGGTATCTCTGACAATAGCAGAGCAGTGAAGGTTAACTATTCCTTCAGCATTTTTTCCAATGAAAGATTTATATTCACGCGTTTGTCACATTTGGCCAAACATTTCAAACATTGTAATCGCAAGTAGGACATCAGTATTTTTATTTTGTTTGATTATAACCTATTTCGATTCACTTGTGAAATTCTGTCTTTCCAGTGACATTTCTCTCTTTTACCTCTGTATTTCATCATTAACCTTTCTTTGTGAAAATGATTTTGCTACAAACTGAACCGACATGAGGACAGCCTCACAGACCATTCTTCATAGATATGCAGATATATAAACATTTTTGCAGCAACCAAGAACTTGGACACGAATCATCGGTCCCAAATTATTAATCTCCCTTGAGACTGTATATATATATATTTCATTTGTTTATAAAATGTTATCACTTAACCTAATTACTATCTTTGCAAGATTTCAGAAAATAACTTACGAGCTCTAGGGCTACAAGCTCTTTGACTCTAGTGAGCTTTTTGTTAATTGCTTTCCGTTTACATGTTATGCAGTATGAAGATATGACGTTGCATAGGCCTATATGCATCAAGTGAAAGAATGTAACATAAAAATAAACGAATAGTGATTCTTAAATCAAGCCATTCTTTGGGAGTTTTATGTTATTATTTTTACTGGGTCTAGGTCTGTATTTCAAAGATCAACCACCAAGAACATAATTTATAGTCTGTGTATTCATGCAGAATGCTTGGTCTTTTGCAGAATCAGTAGGGCTATAGTCCTCAATGCTTGTAGAAGAGCATTGCAAGTTACGTTCTACTTGACTTCTTAAGTAGGCCCTTACTAGCACAGTATACTGGGCTATTTAAACTGGTCACAACGGCCAATAAAAAGTTGTGAAATCCTATACATGTCCCCGACAAGTCGTTGAGATTTCATGTTAAGATTAATGGAAAATAAGTATAGGCTCTATCTCAGAACTCAACTAGGTAGGCTAATTGATACAAATCAAAAATCATTGTCTACCCACAAATCAATAGGCTAAAGCTAGGTAAGATGTCAGATTAAAATATTAGGAGTGCTTGTAAGATAGTTAAACTATAGACTTGAGCCGCAATTTGTCATGAATATGAGGGTGCTACATTTGTCGTAATTGCCCAGCGCTCTTATTTTCAAGAAAAAGTCTGCAAAGAATTAGGGGTGCTATAATGTTGAATTGGTTTTCATCCATGTATGACCTACAGGCTATGTAAAGGAAAACACATTTGCGTGTGCGTGCATGTGTGCCCGTGTTAAAGATGTTGTTGAGTGAATGTGTCAATGAGCTGGCCTGGTCTAGACACTGTCATAAAGACAGGGGCACTAAATAGCTACTTTTCTCTTAATTGCACCGTCTGCCCAGTGAAGAGATTCCTTCCGTCGTAAATAGGGAGCTCGAGTAGGCTATAGGTGGCCGTTTACGAAATACATACAAAAATCCTATTTGAAACATATCCGATTTAGATAACATCCCGAGTGCACAATCTTCACGTTATCCACTAGGCCTATATCTTTATCCATTTGTGCTTGGGACAACAAAACGACAACAACTTGGATATCCGCTTTCTGGAGAGAAAAAAACCCTCAAGTTTATCGACCATGTGGTATAGGTCTATACATCACCACTGATGTCCTGCGGCTGTGACATGTTTTTTACTCTGTGGCTGCCGACGCATTTACGCATAGGCTATATCTAATGTGATTCATACAGATGCGCACCAATTTACAGATATTGAGGCTTTGGAACGTTTAGGTGTATTTTAATGTATTGCGAGAAAGAAAGAGATATTGTCTTTGAACTTTCGTGAAGTCAAGGCCATCACCTTTAACCCTACGCAATAAAGTTGAATCCGAGACTGGCTTTGCTCCCGGAAATACGGGTACAAACTGGTGAGCCAGCCAATGAGGTTTGCAAACGAAAGAGGGTCGGGGGAAAGGGGGATGGGGTTTGGAGGGGGATGTTTAGAGAACCCCGCATTGACCTCTTGAAAACTGACGCATATAGGCTAATGTAGTTATTTTTAATCCTGTTATTAATGTGGTAGAATTTTGAAAAACGATTTGCCATGTTTTGTTTGCTATTGTTTAATATCAGTTTCATTTTATGTATTTGTGAACCCAAAATAAGAAAAACAGTTAGTCTGTATTGGATACACTATATATGCGTGATCATATTATTATAATGAATTTGCTGTAGGCTAATTGAAATTGAAAAGAAGCCAATTTGACATCTGGAGTGCAGCAATTTGACATCCTCAAGCAATTGAATAGTGTAACATATATTTTGTTAAAACCAGATTGGAACTTTGAGGTCTAAGTGTATAAAACTGTCCAACACCCAAAATAACCTAAAGGTTTTGCATTTTTCATATTTTCTTGTGGCCTCCTGTGGGCTACTTCAAAAGTCTCATACATGCAGGATGAAATAATAGTTCTATATAGGCCTACATACACTGAGTGTACAAAACATTAGGAATACCTGCTCTTTCCATGACATAGACTGACCAGGTGAATCCAGGTGAAAGCTATGATCCCTTATTGATGTCACTTGTTAAATCCACTAGAATCAGTGTAGATGAAGGGAAGGAGACAGGTTAAATAATGATTGTTAAGCCTTGAGACAATTGAGACATGGATTGTGTATGTGTGCCATTCAGAGGGTGAATGGGCAAGACAACAAATTTAAGTGCCTTTGAATGGGGTATGGTAGTAGGTGCCAGGCGCACCGGTTTGAGTGTGTCAAGAACTGGAACATTACTGGGTTTTTCACGCTCAACAGTTTCCCGTGTGTATCAAGAATGGTCCACCACCCAAAGGAAATCCAGCCGCGACCGGGAGACCCATGGTGCGGCGCATAATTGGCCCTGCGTCGTCCAGGGTAGGGAAGGGAATGGCCGGCAGGGATGTAGCTCAGTTGGTAGAGCATGGCGTTTGCAACGCCAGGGTTGTGGGTTCAATTCTCCCGGGAGGCCAGTATGAAAAATAAAATAATGTATGCACTCACTAACTGTAAGTCGCTCTGGATAAGAGCGTCTGCTAAATGACTCAAATGTAAACTTGACACAACTGTGGGAAGCATTGGAGTCAACATGGGCCAGCATCTCTGTGGCACACTTTCGACACCTTGTAGAGGGTGTGCCACTCAATAGGGGGGTGCCACTCAATATTAGGAAGGTGTTCCTAATGTTTTGTACACTCAGTGTATTTCTAATACGCCTTTTCCTTTTTCTTTTCAACTAGTTCCAAATACAAAATGGATTGGCTGATGACCGAAAATGTATCATTTTGGCTTATAGCTCAAGTAACATGTAACCCCCCTAAACTAATTTCACATAATATGCCTACCAAGTGATAAAATACATATGGCTGAGGGAAGAGGAGTGGGTTTTGGATCAATGTTGGAGATCAAGACTCTCACACTACTGCTCTCACACCCCGCTGAGGGACCTTGGGCCTGGACTGTAGTTTTTTCACAACTCCGGGCCCCTCTCACGGCATCAGATTGCCTGCTCTTCTTGGCTCCCGCCTCTGCCTCATTTTCTCTTGTGTGCATGTGCCTATGAGACCAGTGGTCTCTGGAGTAAGACGCGGATATCACGTTCTGTCTGGTGGTGTCCAACGTCACTCAAAGGTGTGTCAGATCTCTGTTTACAATATTGACCTAATCAATACATCCTCTCAAAATTGACCTCTTGAAATTGTGATCAGGCAGGAGTCGTGGCTGTGGTACAATCAAATAAATCCAGACCCCCCACAAATCCAGGGCCCCACCAAAATCCTGCGCTTTATTTGATGTTATGTCAATTTTGTTATGACCACGAGGCGACGCTTCCGCACCAGATAGACAATTGTTGAACAAGGCCCTAATGGTACTATAGCCCTCTATGGAGAAGAGGACCGCAAGGAGGAGAAAGATGAATAGCTACTTCGAATATAGCCTACATTGCTTGTAAGCTATGTGTTTGAATCGTTGAACAGGCACAACTGCGATATGAGCTTGCTCGTTTGAAGGCTTTCTTTGTTAGTATGGGTCTTTAAAATATATATTTAGCCTGTAAGCTAGCTAGACTTATGGTATGCAGGCATGAAATCGGACGAGAGGATGGAGTGATGAACATCTTTAAGAAATCAAGGTCAGGTTTCCAAAAAGTAATTGTTTGTGCTTAAAGTTCTTTATGGTGTATGGTGTGCATAATGGTGGGTGGGTGGGTGTGTGACAGAGAGATAGACTGTGTGTATGCCTATGTGTGTGAGTGCGCATTATTTCAGAGAACGACATTTTGCTTAACCCAGCAAGGCGATGACAAGCCTATAAATAACCAGCCCTGTGCAGTTTGGTAAATAGTTTAAGATTTTTTACGATATTCAAATGTAATATAATGCTGACTTATCTTTTGGGCCTATATCACACCTGGCATATTTATAATTTGATTTAACGCAGAGAACCTGCGTCGAGCGTTTAATGTACCATTTGTGTGTACCGGTATAGTAGAGCGGGCTTCAAGTGCAAAAATAGTGTTATGGAGACATGAGGATTAGCTGTGTGAGTAATAATGTTACACCATCAAGGCTTTAGGTTTTGGGAATAATTTTGACTCTTCTCAAGTCATGTTATGCTTCGAGAAAAGTAACGTGAAGCATGAAATAGCAATAAGTAGCCTAAAACACATATATAATAAGCCCATATAGTAGGCTAATCATATTAAGCTAAAAGTAATTACGAATATAGGAATGTGAATGTGAAGAATAAGAACATGGATAGAAAGAACAATTGTCAGTTTAATGTTGGCAACGGGCATTTAACCACTTAAAACATTTCCATTGATGCAACTTTGTATCATTAAGATTGCAATTTTCAGAAAATGTGCACGCTATATTTCAATTCAGACTGATATTTTATGTCCTCGTGTTTATATTCTAACTCGTAAAATCTCTATGCAGGCCCAGACCCCGGGCCCGTTCAGCCTACGCGCGCAGGTAGGCTATCTGTGTGCATGGGTGTCCATATGTTAAGGTCGTTCACCCTGGTGGATTGGTACAATATTTTAGGAATGTCACAGGATTTGAGCATGTGTGTTTGTGTAATTAGATTCTGTATTTTAAGGATTTGGGGTGTAGTAAGTCGGCAGCAAGGTGACCTAAAATCAAATCAATAAACGAACGCCTACATCTGGCTCATACCTTCTTATTTAAGCAATGTTTTGTTAGATGTGTTGAATTCCATAGCAATTCCAATAAAATCTAAAGATTTAGAAAGATTTTTAGGCTACCTTATTAATCGAAAACCCTTTATAGAAAACCCTGAAAAAAATTTGCCTACTGAACACATCTGAATGATCCGACTGACTGATTGATCCGCGGTTTTTCTACGGATCTTATATATGAAATATACACTTATATTATATTATAGGCCTATTAATATGATATACAGATTATGAAACCATGCTAATCCAAGGCGTTTTATAAAAAAATTAAGATAGTTGCACATTCTGTCCTCCAAATAACGTAATGGGTATAAAACACTAACTTTTCAGCACACAAGGCTTTTTGGAATTATAACGCTGATTTTGCTGAAAGCTGACGTGCCTACAAGAGCCAACAACCAATCACAGTGTCTTGGTTCAGTTCTGTCTAAACACACCCTTATACAAATATTCGTTTTGTTCCCAATTATATAGGCCTACTGAAAATATCTTGTTGATATTCACAGATATGTGGAAGACGGGTAGACCAGGTGCTACGGACAACACTCAGTCACATAATTCCTCTTGCTCCTCACCATCAGCCACACTCTGTAAAAACGTCATTGCTATCAAGTAGGCCTATGCTCCAGAAATGGGCTGCATGCTATTTTTTGTGTTCTTTAGAAGCAACCTCTGAATGCAAGCCAGTTCCTGGCATATATTGAACTCACATAGCCTCTAAGCCTACTCACCACACTGAATGAAGCGCGATCTCTTAACAATCCTTTTTTAAGCTTGTAAATAAAGCCTCTGTGCTCTATAGGCAGGCAAGCTATAGGCCTAGCTGTTTTGTTTATTTCATACAAACATAAGGAGGCGATATTATCAATTGTAACATGGACAGCCACATCCCTCTTTTGCATTGCTTTGAAATCAACCTCACTCTCAAAGGGCTGAATTCTTATTTCAGAAACGGCCATCTACATGATGTAGCTCAATTGGTAGAGCATGGCGCTTGTAACGCCAGGGTAGTGGGTTCGATACCCGGTACCACCCCTACGTAAAATTGTATGCACACATGACTGTAAGTCGCTTTGGATAAAAGCGTCTGCTAAATGGCATATAATATTATATAAATCATGTAAGCTATTGATATAAATGGGAGATTTAAGATGCGCGCACATATAGCCTAGCCCTATAGGATTCGACCAGCATAGCCTACACTCACTTTCTCTCCCTCCTGATCCGTGTTTTAATCGTTAGGCTACATCATAACATGATGTTAAAGGAAGTATGCCCTTTGTAAAAGGATATGTCTTTAAAAATAAAAGTAGTAACGGCGACAGAGAAAGCAGGTAAAGCTGATCTCTTGCTGTGAAAAGGCCGGGTCATTGTCAGTAACCTCTCTGTCGGCGCCATTGAAGACAAAACTAGGCTACAGCTCCACAGTAACCAACTAACAAAACAGAGTCGCAGCAAAACAAAACAGTTTTTCATAATTCTTAGATGGTAGGCTATAGTTTACTCATTTGTGGATTACATTTATTTTTAATTGCAAGGCTCTCTGGCAGATTAGGACAGCGACACATTAACTGAGAAACTATATCAAATATAGGCTACATTTACATTTTAGTCATTTAGCAGAAGTTCTTATCCAGAGCGACTTACATGTAGTTTTTTTTTTTTCTTCATACTGGCCCCCTGTGGGAATCGAACCCACAACCCTGGCGTTGCAAACGCCATGCTCTACCAACTGAGCTACATCCCTGCCGGCCATTCACTCCCCTACCCTGGACGACGCTGGGCCAATTGTGCGCCGCCCCATGGGTCTCCCGGTCGCGGCCGGCTACGACACAGCCTGGATGCATTTTACATTTACATTTTAGTCATTTAGCAGACGCTCTCATCCAGAGCGACTTACAGTTAGTGAATACATATATATATTTTTTATACTGGCCCCCCGTGGGAATCGAACCCACAACCCTGGCGTTGCAAACGCCATGCTCTATCAACTGAGCTACATCCCTGCCGGCCATTCCCTCCCCTACCCTGGACGACGCTGGGCCAATTGTGCGCCGCCCATGAGTCTCCCGGTCGCGGCCGGCTGCGACAGAGCCTGGATTCGAACCAGGATCTCTAGTGGCACAGTTAGCACTGCGATGCAGTGCCTTAGACCACTGCGCCACTCAGGAGCCCCCAGCAAACAAAACAGTGGCATGCATTATCTATGCATATCTGTTTATCCAGTAAAGGAGAATGTAATGTTATGTTGTATTTGCTAAATCACCATGGGTTATGTAGGCTAGGTCAACAGGACAATAACTTAATTAAGTAAAATATGAAGGATTTGGATGCACCTCTAGAATAGTTCACCATATATAATGCATGCCACTAGCAGACTATATTTTGTTTGTGTAAGTGATCTCTGCGGGAATTGAACCCACAACCATAGCGTTTCTAGCAGTGTGCTCTATAGGCTGCTTACTGAGTCACACAACACAACTAACACTTATATGATTGAATCCAATGATTAAGAATCAGCGAAGAAACTCAGCACTCAATTATCACTATATTAATTTGTTTGGATTTATTCCCAAGTATTTTCTGTAGGTTTTCTCATGCTATGGGCAAACAGAGGATTCTCTATGAAATTGCCTCTCATACAATTATAGCCAATATCTAGGACTAGAAGCCTCAAGCAAATGATGGCAGTAAGGTTTAGAATAATTGGAAATAGACTAACCATGATAAAATGGGTTTATTTAAGCAATAAGGCCCGATGGGGTGTGGTATATGGCCAATATACCATGGTGAATGGCTGTTCTTAAGCACGATGCAACGTGGAGTGCCTGGACACAGCCCTTAGCTGTGCTATATTGGCCATATATCACATACCCCAAGGTGCCTTCTTGCTATTATAAACTGATTACCAACTTAATTAGAGCTGTACCTGTGGTATATGGTCTGATATACCACGTCTGTCAGCCAATTAGCATTCAGGGCTCGAACGACCAGTTTATAATGAACATGTATTATGAAAATTACGTTGGTAACCAGTTTATAATAGCAATAAGGCACCTTGGGTGTTTGTGGTATATTTCCAATATACCATGGCTAATGGCTGTATCCAGGCACTGTGCTTAAGAATAGCCCTTAGCAGTGGTATATTGGCCATATATCACACCCCCGCGGGCCTTATTGCTTAATTATACCATGGCATTGTTGAATAATCGTTTCTGATTGGCTTGAAGGGCATTCTAGAGTGTGCATTATTTCCCTATAATGCACGGTTTATCAGCATGGTAGAATTTAATGGTTATAGTTCATTCTTACATGTTCTATTGAGATGCTTTTGAAAGCAAAAGTCGAATTGAAAACATTACTGGCATTCAATTTTCATAATAGCAAGCTAGGACTGATGATTTGGTTAGCTAAACTAGCATGTCTGTTTGTTTAGTAAACTTGCTAGCTACTTCAGTGGATGTTGACCACATTTCTACCAGCAAACAGTGCTTGACTTGGGCAGGCGCTCACTGGAGCTGAGTACCGGCACCTCAAAGTTTCTACTGCTTGAGCTCCTGTTTCTTATATAGAATCTTAGCTCAAAAGTATTGTGGAGCTCCCACCCCTAAATATCAACAGTACCGGCACCCAAAATGAGTACCTGAACCTATTTCAGTCCAAGTCAAGCACTGCTTGCAAATGAACACATTTCTAGAGGCAAATGTGTTAACTTATAGCCATGGTATGAATAATCAACTCGGGGCTCTATGTGTTCTCTGGAAAATAGTGCAACTCCGTGGAACGTGAGTTCAACTCCGCTAGTGCATCGTGGAACACATCTTCCACGTTGTTCCTTATTTTCCAGAGAACACATAGAGCCCCGAGTTGATTAACCCTTACATAATTAAATAATATAATTGTGCAAATGTTTGCATCACTATTGTAGCCACTATTGTAGCCTATAGCCTATATGTGGTTCAACTATATTGATCTATGATTAATGCAAGAAAATGGGCAGTAAAATTAGATTTTTTAAACATAAACAATTCAATGGCTTAAATAATTTTAATGAAAAAAAGGCAAACAAACGGGGTAGTAGCCTTTTGCTTACTTTTTAATTGCTTTTTAAAAAATGTAAAGGTTTGCACAAAAAAAGGACAGGCTTTTGATAACAGGTTAATGCATAGTAATGCAAATGTAAGAAATTGTGCCTCTAAAACAAATTCTCTAAAACACATATAATGTTTTTTCGAATTCCTTTTGGCTATCGATAATAGTGTTTATAAACCTTACATCCCTACTACACTTTCTCTTTGTCCTCATTCCACTCTTTTTTTTATCACTCTGCCACAGCCTATAAACAAAGCTACTGCGTTCATCAATTATATTGTTCTTTCTCTTTTATAATACCCTACCATTACATGCCATTTATAAAACTCTATAAAAGGGACTTTATGTACTGCCATGTCCAGTTTTAATGAACTATAAGAAATATAAACAAGCAATAACTTTTCGTTATTACCTTTAGAAAGCAGAGTTATAATAAGATCAAATCATAAAACTATTTGGCGGTTGATATTTCAAGAATCATTGTCAAAACGTTTGTTTTTGCTCTTGTTGCCTCTAAATGAAATAAATAGCATAAAATAACAATAATATTTTTTTTGGAGTGCAGACCCTCTACACAAGAATCAAAGACAACGCTTATCATGATGCAATATAGGCCTACATGTTGTGCAATTTACATAACATATCTTCTTTAGGTTTATCCTCTTCTTTTTTGCCAGCTCCATTGCTCACTTTTGTTTTCTAGAACACATAATGCAATAGAACACTATTTGAATTAGTCTCTAGTTCTGTATGTTCAAGAACTTGTATCTATACCCTATCTGTATCTGTCCTGCTAGATGGCGCCCTTACTCTGTCATAGAGCTGGAAACTCGACAACTTGACACCAGTGTTGTCATGGCAGTCTGGTGCATCAGGGGCCACTTTCAAACACCTATTGGTTTGAAAGTCACGTGGCATACCTCGTACATCCATAATTATGTTGCTGAAGTTTTTTGATGCTCCACGCCCCCAACTCGAATATGTCAGCTTCCTACCCGACTATAATCCTCTAGGAGGGCTCTGAAGAGTGGTATCAAAATAATAAAGAGAACAATGGAACGTCAAAATAAAATCCCAGCTTCTAAATTTCATGTGGAACAGTTTGGTAGAAGAATCCTCTGTGTGCAGAGATAAGGGTTATTTGCAGTTCCGGAATGTAAGCTCAAAGAGGTGCGACCGAGTATGACTGTTCGACCGTGAGAAATTATGGAATCGTGTCTTCGCCTCTTTCCAAAGGACTACCTTCGCCATCTCCGACAAACACGGCTCTCAGCGCCTATCATTACCAACATTACCTGTCGCAGCTAAATCTTTTTGGGCCTGAAGCTAAAAATTCATCCCAGGTAACACAGCATGTTATCCGACCACTGCTTTCATGTTCTTTCCCATCAGAAAGTGTGAAGGAGGACTCAATGTGCTTCCTATATAGCGGGGATCCAAACTGACGCACGGAGACTGTTGTTGGACCTTGTTCCTACACGAGGATGGCTGAGAGACGCCATCACAGTTAAATGCACGAACATTCTCGTACGGAATCCTCTACAGCCAGTCAACCTTACATGAGAAAGGAGAATGCGCATGGCTTCGGCCCAGATAGTATCTTCTCTGTTGTCGAAACTGGGACAGAGAATCCAGAACCATTTAAGTACACCTGCGAAACCAATCAGGAGCCGTATCTGGCAGACAGTAAACTCGAGGAGAATCACAGCCCAACGAAACAACTGTCTGAGAAAGAGAATGTCCTTAAAACGGACGGAAGCACAGACAACTCAGACAGTGAGGTTAAAGGTAACGCACACATGGATTATAACACATAAACAAGCATTATCCGACCACGAACACACACACCCACATACACACACAAACATGGCTCATGGCTTATAACACAAACAAACATATCATCACACTTACTTCGACCAGGTTGGACAAGCCAATACTTCATCTGAGATGGAAATAAATTTAGGCTACTAATGCTAATTCAAAAGATCATGCAATGGTGACAAGCCTCGGCATAGGCCTATGTAATTGTATCTGTTACCAGTGGTAGGCCTATAGTTTCAAAGTACAATTTTAACCTCTTGCAAACTTGACTCGATTGGTGGGCTGTTTTTTGTTAAGCAGACCTTTCCCCTAAATTGAGTAGCCTAAGCCATACACTTCCCTCCCTACTCTATCTTTATAATTATAGGATCTGCGTTCCTTATCTCTTTCCTAAAAAAATCAAAATAACATTCACACAATACCGGTTAACGCACAGGCCTGCCTGTAGGCTACTTTTCGTTGTTTATTTCACTGGACTACAAGGGTGATCTGGAAGGCGAGACTGCGTATGCTCTTGACATTGTCCATTTAAGCAACTTTTTGTTCCCAAAGCTGCCAGGCCATTACCAATTTGCTGCGAAGGACATAATCCGTTTACCATTGAACTGCAACTTTGGAAAAACGTTTGTGATAGTCTAGGTTTTTGATTTTGAGAAATGAAAACTGCACACTGCACAGTCTCAAATACTTTGCAGTTGAGATGGAGCTCATTCATTCATATTTTGAGAATGTTTAAGGAATGAGATTTGTTATGTCTAATTGGTGGTCATGACAATAATAATAATAAGATAGGATAGACCTACTATAGTCGCTATATCTCGCTTGGATTTGTTATAATATAGTAATAGGCTACTAGTAAAGGGGGGGGGGGGGGGGGGGGGGGGGGGGCTATCCAAATGAATGCGCTCTAATTATATAGTTACAGCAATGAAGAAAATAAAGCATGATTCAGGCTGGTTTATATCTCATTGGATTTAAACAGAAGATGCTGCTTTCCCAGACACAGATTCCTACACTAAAAAGCATGTTCAATGGAGACTCACTGTTTAATCTGTGCTCGGGAAACCGTCCCGAGAAGACATAGCCTACAGACAAACTGTGCAGACCAACAAAAAAAAAAACTTTAGGATTTTGCTTATGAAAGTTTCCTGGAAGGTGAAGTGTAATGGAATGGGTGCTTGTATGATTGCTTTTGTTTTGAAGCTTGTTGGCTTTGGAAACTACATTTTTTAGCTAAATTGTCGGTAAATAATTTTTCAAAGTATAAAACAACAAATATAAAGCACATATAACCTCAAGTTATGACGTTTCATTTTGTAAGTTCAGGAAATAAAAATCGTGTCACGTTATAAACATAATTGTAGGACCAACTGGTGAACTTTAGGCTGATGGTGATTCGTTTATTATTGTTACTATTAGGCCTATTATTATTATTATGTATTATTCTTAGGCCTTGTATTGAGCATATGTGGCCACAGCATGTGCATCCGAAATTCACGCCATTGCTTACACAATGAAATTCCATTTTTATTTATTAACTTGTTTAAATCAGGCAGATATGGGGCTTCTATTTCCATGTAATTAAAAACAACGTATGATTTAGGGCGAAATATTAAAAGTTGCTTCAGTCCCTCATTTCTCTCTTCCTTAAATCTGACAGATTCGTTAGAATAGTGCCTACTAATAACTTGCTATTCAAATATTACACTTTTATCCCACATTCTAAAAGAGTAATTCATTAGTCATTCACTAAAAAATTATAAAAACACTGCGCCGTTTATTTCCGGATTGTTTTCCCCATGTGAACAGTGTGATTAGTTTAATTATTCGTGCCCGCTGCGCCATGTAGGCCTAATCAAGACAGAAGTCTTTAACATTTAGATTTTAACCTCCTCCGGACTCCTTTATGGATAGACTCAACTATACACCCCGGACATCGTCCGTGGTATCCATCCCTCTGTATTGTGGCATTAACTAATATCTACATTTAATTTATCTCTAATGCTATTTATGAGGGGATTGAAAGAACATAATGTAATTCTTATCGCCAAAAATACCCAAGTTACCCCTATTAATTAACAATTTATTTTCATTAGCCTATTTGCCGGATGAGATCAACTCACATTTTTCGTAGGCCCTGTGTTTCTATATAGTTAATTGTTTCAATTGGCCTTGATTGAGCGTAGGCTACTCCAGATACGCAAATAATGCAGCATTAGTTAGGCTATATTCTCAAAGAAGCGGTAATTTATCATCTCACTAAAGGCTATGATTAGGCTATACCTCCGTGCATTAAGGCATCAAAGACAACGACATGTTATGACATTTTATATAACCTTGAAAGAAAACAATTGGAGTTGAAATGATATATTTTTATATATATATCGATTAGCAGCTCCATTGAGCTATAGGCCTACGGTGAAGTTGTAAATACAATTGCCAATATATATAAAATGACATGCCATTCTTGGTAACCTGATTTAGTTAGTGTATTATCAGTGGTTTCGCGAGGCCGCAAGGTCTGAGCATTTTGCCATGAGGCTGAGAGAAATGTTGCTTTTTTAAAGCTAATTTCCTGCAATTCTCCACATATTGCCATAGGGCAGAGAGAAACATTTACAGTTTTATAGCTAATCTCATGCTATTTTACACATTTGGCAATGAGACTGGGAGAATGTAGCATTTTTAAAGCTAATTTCCTGCAATGGGGGGGGGGGCTACCTCCAGGGGGCACCCAACCTTAATAGCTGCAGAGGTGTGTGGTATATGCCAGTGATTATTATGTTCTATCACAAATTAGGCTACGTTTAGGCTATAAACTGATAATCATGTTAATTCAACTAATTCCTTTTTTACAGGGGACACCAGATTGGAGAATGCCATTGGAAACTGGATCATAGCTAAAAGTGGACGGAAAAATCGTTGTCCTTACACCAAACATCAGACACTGAAACTGGAAAAAGAGTTCGTGTTCAACATGTATCTGACGCGAGAGCGCCGCCTGGAGATAAGCAAGAGTATTGACTTATCTAATAGGTCAAAATATGGTTCCAAAACCGACGCATGAAACTCATGGAATTCCACAGGGAGAGTCGAGTGAGAGCGCTAACCTCTGTTTATGCTTACACCTCATTTGAAGGGAAATTTAACAAAAACTACACTTAGTCTACACATAAGCTAGCAGACTAAACTCCACTTCCTTGTTAAAGAAGTTTGCTACACATAGGCATACAAGGCCTAGGCCTGCACACACGCTACGCTCATGCAGGAGAAAGCATCTAGAGCAGGTTATAAATTGTAGGCCTTTTAAACACGCTTAATCTTTTTTAGAATCCATGCATGGTTTTGTCAAATTTTACAGCTATGAACCTCTTCAGATGCAAAAAAAAATTTGAACGCTGGATATTAATTGTTTAGAAAAATGTCTCAAAGTGGCATTAGTGCATTTGAATTGTTTTCCATACACTTTTAATGAAATGTGTTGTCTTTACTTGGTCTCTTCCTTTCTTTCATTTATGTTGTTGTTGTCTTGTGTTTTGTTGTTTTTTGTTCATGTGAACTTGATGTGCTGTGCATTACAGCATCATAAAGTCAATGCACTTTCAAACGATTATCGCAAGCATTATGTGTCTGAACGTTTTGTAAAGATATAAAATAAGCCTATACAAAATAGATAAAATGGGTATGGAGCATCATTTTCCCTTGCTGTCCTTCTCCTTCGTGTCCTTTGTGGCTTGCTTTGAGAAAGAGAGGGGAGAGGGAAAGGGAAAGGGCGCAATAGTGGGAGTTTTAATGTAAGTGGAAAGACCGACCATATAGCTGTGATTTAAATAGCCAGGTGACCACAAGAAGTCAAGGTCATAAAATAGTAACGTCATGATGGTTGGAGTACAGCGCTAGAGGTGGTTTTTATGATCTGCAAGTATAATGTGCACCGCAGCAGTAAAGATGAGTTTAAAGGTGAGGAGGAGGAGGTCTATACCCACATAGCCGGGCTACAATGGAGCTGGTTTGCACGGGCGCACGCCACTTCATTCACCAGATGAGGGGAAATGCGACCTTCTCCAACGGATGATGGAGCAAAAAGAGACCGGGTGATTACTTTAAGGGAATGGATATGATGGAACAGTGTCAGCAACTAGACACGACTGCAGGAGCATGGCAACGGATCCCCGCATGCAGCCTGCGTTGAAGGTAGGACTAGCCGCTGGCATTTCCTTTCTTTGCTTTGGACTAGATCACGTCTGGCTCTGTTCATTTGGCACATTTGCAACTGGCAGCACATTAATTTCCATAACACCGAGGGTATCTCGTGTTGTTGTGTTGCTGCATTTTAACCTTGTGCAGACATTCAAGATCCGACCAGTGATGGTTGTGGAGGTTTTCTATGTTGATGAGCTGCTCGAGATTTGCAAGTGGATTTTGGATTATGATGTGTGCTGTGATAGTTTTGTTGAATTTACCTCTGCCTTGGATGGACAACGATGTTTTGTCATAGAATGAACAGACAACTGTGAACCTGCATGTGTTCATGGAGTATGCTATCCACTTAACAAAAAATAGAATATTACAAATAATCTTACAAAATATGATCGCTCCTTGCTGGATATGCGCTCAAGTCGTGGACATCATAGTATTAGGCCAATCTTGCTATTTTCAAATATGACTGATATGCAAAACGACATCAAGCATATCAAAGTACTGGTCTACATATGCAGCATTTTTGTTATTCGTTTTTTCTTCTGTAGATTATTTCCCCATCGGTCCATAGAAAAACATTTGACTGTGCAATACGTTTGATATTGTTTCTAATTCTCAATGGATTGACCTTTCACGTTCAGCTGATGCGTGGTTTAGGTAGTTTCATGTTGTTGGGATTGACTTCCTGGCTCGGCAACAAGAAACTGCCTTGATTACGTCAGTTTAACTTCATCAAGGGCGTCCATTTCCGTCAGATTACACACTCGGTTGAGGAGTCGCCGCAAATGGCATTGTAAATGAACCGAGACATCAATATCCACGACGAGACCTTTTTTCTTAGCTCTTTGGCTTTATGTGGTGGACACTAAAAGGTCTATTGGCTGCAGTGGGAGAATTTGGGTTGTAAACATCATGGGGTAAAAAAATCCTTTTGAGCTTTGTGTTGTTGCGCAGACTTTTGAGGTCTAGCCTTGTAGATGGGATTATTGACCGGAGGTGTTTTAGGGATGGCACTCAGCATTCCAAGAGCGTCTCCAGGTGCCATGGGACATCTGCCAAGTAGTAAAAATCCCATTCTCATCTCTGGACTCATTATGCTTTTGTTGTAACAGACATATTTTATTATATCACTTGTATGATCATTGAATAATAATCAAATAACATAAAAATGACCCTTTGAGATTCTAAGGGTTTGTTTTAGGCCTACATTATTACCTGAATTCGTCATTATGGTGGGCTTGCTTTCTCCTTTGCACTTAATCTCGGCGCAAATATAGCCTGCACAAAATGTTTGATATTAAACATGGGGTTGCAACATAAACCATTTTGAAACATTAAATTAAGTCGTCATCACAAACAGTATTTTGTTTATCGAATGGTCAAGGAACATAAATGTGCAGCACGCTGAAATGTGCAGCACGCCATGGTTCCACTGGAACCGATTTAGTAGCCTAGATCTGGGCCTTTTTGTTTTCTTAAATTTGGCGTTATGAATTTACCTCAACGTTTTTGCTACATATAGCTACTGATCTCCGTTTGATATGACAGTAAATTGAGGAGAAGCTAGAAAAGAGGCAGAATTCAAATTATTTCGTAAAATGAGAAATTTATAATTTATGCAAAAGGACTGTATAGCCTGTAGATAGGCCAGTTGTAATTATAAGTAGCCTAGCCTATGTTACATTTTAACAAATATATGTGTGTTTGTTTATTATCGCCTATTATAGGCCTATTGTATTAGGACTTATTTAGGATATTACTAGTGTAATGGGTCAAAAAACTATTACATCCGGTTTGAGGCAGGTAACACTAGCCTATCTTCAATATTCTCCATCTGCATGATATGAGCTACTCGCTCTTTTGTCTTAATCACCACTAACATCACATAGACAAAATGTAATTAAAATCATCCATGAACGACATACATAGATATTGACACAAAAATGTTAGCTACAAGAGCAAATGTTAGCCCCATGAGTGCACATGCATTGATTTATTGTATTTTCCCTGATCTTTTTATTTAGTATTTTCTGTATCAAGTATTTTGTGTATGTCATGGCTCACTTGTAAAAGAGGCATGTGTCAATTTGACTCCATGTATAAAATAAGTATATATATATATATTACATTTTGTCTATATAATGTTATATATATATATATATATATATATATATATATATATATATATATATATATATATATAACTTTTACGCACGGACCACAACCACACATAGCCCTACGCAGACGCTGTCATTGACAGCGTGATCTGTCTTGGTGTCTATCTACAGGTATGCAATGCCAATGCTAGGACTCAATTTGACTCATTGGAATATTATTAGGCCTTTACTTAATCCTGTATGGTGACCATCTCCGGTGTCAAATCTATTTTAGCAAATATATAGGCTACACATTGGAACCCTCGTAAGAGAAGGTATAGGCCTAGGCAATGCTTTAACGCCGAATTGCTGTCATAATATTAATGTCTTTACGACCAGAGCTTTAATCAAACGTTTCCAGTCAGTAAGGCCTTTAAGTGGTGTCTTTAAATGTGTTTACGAGTTCACAATGTTACTCCAGTCCACTCCACGAAATTAACGTCTGTAATAAACAGCATTCTTCCAATCCCGCGGCAGAGGTATAAATGTATGTTATGCACGCTCTATCGCTAGCAACATTAAACTGGTATTTAATTACAGAATGCATTCCGTTGACCTAAAAAAACAACAGGATTTATACTGAATAGCCTATCTTTCAGGGTTCATACCGAATATTAGGATTAGTCACCTGAGCCTTGATATCCAAGAAATAACGTAATATTTTCATTTATTTGTTTGACTTTATAAAAATTTATGAAAGCTTAAACCGATGTGGCTGTGTTGAATTAGGATAGGCATATACAATTGAATTAATGGAGAAATCGTTTTTTCTTATTTTTACGTCCTTTCTCTCACACACACACACATGTACATTGCCTTCAATATTAATTTTACCTGCTTGCACACACTGAGCTGTCAGTCTTTTAGCTCATTTCTATTCTTGTTCTTAATGTTATTATTAATGACATATATATATATATATATATATATATATATATATATATATATTATTGGAAATAACAACAGTATTGATGATGTTATAAACATTAACAGCATTCTTTCAATCCTCTTACACGATAAAGGTTTTGTGGGCTGAAACTTCAATAAAAAACTAAACAAAACAAAAAACATCAACTTTTAATGAACTAATTAATGATAGTCCCGCCTATTTTAGCAAATAGGCTACCTTTCTAATATCTACCAATGACTAATTGTACATGTTTTTTTTAATGTTTTCAATAACGTGGTTAGTGTATTCAAATGGCAAATGTTTTTTTTTTAATACATTATGGCCATTATTCAGTGATCAGTCAGTGTAACCTATAATTTACAGTTTAGCTTAAATAAAAGTAGGTCTATATCCCTCACATTAGTCTACTGCTAGCAGTGATGATGTCACCTTAAACTAGGCCTACTAGGCAAATTATGAGCTTAGATTGCCTGATTTGCATTGATCAACATTCGTATCTATGTGCACATTCATATGGTTCTTGTTGTAGGCTAATTCTTCTTAGCACGTTGTTGAGTGTTTTAACACTCCCAAGTTACTGAATAATATAGCCAATATAGCTGTAGCGGTGAACAGAAGTCAAGGCCCCATGTTTACATGCCTTGCACTAGACTGTGGAGTAGTGATGTCACCGGAGTGGCTGTGTGTCATTTCCATTTTCTTAGCAACCGCATGGTGCTCAAATGCACTTGAAGTGGGTGATTAATTAAAGTAAAGCCTCTTATGTATTTTAAGTATATTGTTGTTATGTGAGGCATAAAA